AAAATTTTCAACGAAATATACATATTTATTAAAAATAAACACAAAGACTAAAAAAGTTCTTTCAACAGTTTTGTACATTAATCATATTCTGTAAAGTTTAGAGTATAAATGTATCAATTTATAACAAAAACAAAAAATGAATTCAGTTCTTTTTCGTTTTTACATCTTAAAACTAATTAAATTTAAAGGTATACGCATAAATTTTTTATTTAAATTTGTGATAGTATTGCTTTAAAAAATTGTTTGTCAGTCTCACATTCGAGGTAAGGTACCATTTCAGTTAGGTCTTTAATTTTATTTTTGTCCGATTTCGGCTACCATAAAACAAGCAGTGTTTGCTGATATAAATTGTCAATATCAATTTCCTCGTGACTCACTTTATATCCAATATTCCATAAATTATTTTTGTTGTACTCTAAATATTTTACTTTCGAAAAAGGCACAAGGTTAAAGTTCAAAAGTCCAGCGTTTTGTGAATAGATTTTGAAATCTTCAGGATATTTAAAATTTTTTTAAATTTGTACTAATGCAAGTGGGCTAAGAATTTGTATATTTCTCAAAGTTTTATCTATAGTGCTATGCACACAGTCAACTTCCTGAATACAAGAATGCCCAGTTTCTGAAAATTTTTGTGTAATACTGGTAATGGAAGAATTATTCAAAAAGAACAATATAGCAGTAGATGTTAGTTGATTTCGGTTTTTTAGGAATAAAAGAGTCACTCCATATGAATTTGTTTTTATTTCTGGGTGATCTATCTCTACGCCGTCCAAAATCTTTATCAATGCACTTGCGATGACCTTTCCTCCTCTTCCACCACAAGTCTCGTCCCATAAAGCGCAATAGGTTTCTTTAACTCCATTTGCTTGAATTAATGTTACGGTTAAATTAAATACACAAAGTTTTCGCCGATAATAAAAGTTTGAAGCAAAACATTTAGGCAAAGTGATTTCGTTTTCGAGATCATAACGGAAAATAGCTAGCGATGGATCAATATTTTGACGATCCTTCTATCTTTCTGCTTTGCAAAATTGTTTTTCCTCGACATGTTTACAATATTGTGGCTTCTTATCTTGTGAACATTCTTTTTCATTGATTTTACAAAAAACACAGCGGTCACATTGATCTGTTTTTGGACTATAAAATGATAAATTAAATTAGTTGAAAACATCTCTATAAACGTTTAGAGACACATTATGTTTAATGTGTTTTTCTCTATACAAATCATACATTTTTTTACACTTAAGTGACTTTCTAAGTATGTATTTACGAGCAGTTGACGAGCGACAATAGTGTGAACAAATAGTGGGGAAACTAAGTATATGCTCTTTTACTTCTTGGATTTTATCAGGACTGGTTTTCGGCCTACCATGATTTTTTCTGGTTTGTGAAGGAACTCCCTGCTCATCGGTAGAAACGTTAAACAAATAACAAATCCTTCTTTGGGATATGTCAAAGGGTACTGAGAAATTTTTTTTTTCAAACTTGTAAAGTTGTATCGTTATTTTTAAAAAAGTAATAATGATCTTTTTTACGGAGTGTGAAAGTATTCTCAGACGATTTACAGCGGCGTTTCGAGTTCGAGTTTCAGTGGCAGCACTACTGACACTTTTACAAAATTACTTCGATTAAATTAGAGTCATCTCATATTCGAATACTGCAAATATTTAAATTACAGTGGCAGCACCAAGGGCTGCACTTTTAAAACAACTTTCGAATTTTTGCGATAAATTTTGAATTCTACCCTCTCACATATTAATACTGGCCATCTGGCAATTTTTGGTAAGGGCCATAAATCGTTTTGATTATTCCGACAAAAAAAAAATGTCGCGTGCTTTTTACCAGACCCATCTACCGACATGTATTTCGACATCTACCGACATATGTTTCGACGTACAATAGATTATGAAAAACCGAAAAAATAGCAAAAAAATTAGCTATTTTCGCAATTTACTCGAAATGCTATTATTCCGTGAGTCGCAGGTGCAAGTATCGGCACATTCCGAATGAAAACTTACACTGAAAATGGCACAACGCCGAAACCGGTTTGTCACCAAACCAAATTTGACAAGGGATGATGGAAAATCGTTCCACATTACAGCATACTCCTACCCTGTCGGAAACACCAACAACGAAAATGAGAATAACGGCACATGCAGTAATTAATTGACAGAAAAATATTTTGTAATAAAAAACATATATTATAATTGTCAATAGCATTTTCAATCTTGATAATTTATCAAGAAAATAGATTTAAACTTCTGTGCTAGAACTGGGAGCTCTTGATAAATAATCAAAAATTGACAAATTATAAAAA